AGCCTAAATACGAACATCAAAAGCCTACAAAACGTCAATGACACCAAAAGCCTACCAACCAGCTCCGAAAGCCCACCAATTAACAACAACCCCTCCCCCCCCCCCAACCAGCACCGAAAGCCCACCAAACAACATCAAAAGCCCACCTTAAGCCCACCAACCAACACAACACCTAAAGCCCACCAAACAACACCAAAAGCCCACCTACAGCCCACCAAACAACACCAAAAGCCCACCTAAAGCCCACCAACCAACATCAAAAGCCCACCTTAAGCCCACCAACCAACACAACACCAAAAGCCCACAAGCCCTAAAGACTACAGCTCATAAAAAAATCTGCCCCACTCAGACCGTATCTTGTTTTGATTCAAATGGACGTCTTCGATACCGCTTTTCTTACAAAAAAGGCTGTACGTGTCAAGAGATCGATACCGCCAAACCTCATCAAACTCTTTGGCCAAGGTGTTGCGGTTCCCATCAGCGGTATCGTGGGGTGGGGTGGGGGAGGGGGTGGGGTGGGGTGGGGTTATTGTGTCTCTTAACCGTGATGAAACAGTTACATGCGGGGGTAGGGGGCAGGATGGGGGAGGGGTTGGGGTTATTGTGTCTCTTAACCGTGGTGAAACAGCTACATGCGGGGGGGGTGTGGGTAGGATGGTGTGGGGTGGGGTTATTGTATCTTTTTATCGTGATGAAACAGCTACATGCGGGGGGGGGGTAGGATGGTGTGGAGTGGGGTTATTGTATCTTTTTATCGTGATGAAACAGCTACATACGGGGGGTAGGGTCGGGTGGGGTGGTGTAGAGTAGGGGGGGGGTAACCCAGTTAAGAAACAGATCAGAGAGGACCCAGAGGCCAGGAGAAAAAAAAAGTTTGAGAAAAGATTTGAAAGAGTGATCGTTGGATGAGAGGAACTACGAGAGGAGGACAGGGGGAGAGTTTAGAAGGGATAGACGAACTGATTGAATATTCGATACGTCGAGTGATTGATTGGTTATGACGTGTGAATCTGTTAATTGATTGAGGATACAAACTGCTTGCTTGGGGTCATCGAATCCCGGGGACGGGGAAATCTTGAAGATTTAGATCGGCGTGGAAAAAATTGATTGAATTAAGGAAGTAAAGAAATGCAAGAGACGCTAGATTTGGGCGGCCTCTTACGCTGATACGTGAGTCCATGTTTTCAAATTGTCAAATTTTATTTTCTGCCGGAACTTGTATCAAAAGTCACAGTGGTTGCATGTGTGGTTGGTGTATGATGTCTTAAAATTGTCGGGGATGGTGATGGTACAAGGTGAGGTATATTGTGGTGTAGACGAAGTAGAGTTCATGGTTTTTAGACCAGGGTATGACGGGATTTTACGGTCAGCAACCGGAACAGCCGCCGTAAGATAAAGGTTAACGAATATGAAACAGTGGGGCTAGGCCCTGGGGGGGGGGGGGGGTGATTAGGGAGGTAGAAGACAAAGGCAAATGTGACATTTGGGGACAAATCGGAATGTGACTTGGGAGATATTGGGGACAAATCGGAACATTTTTTAATGTAGATTTATATTAGAATGTATCATTCTTCTTTTGTAGTAGGCCTATGCTCATGTAATGTGTGTACACCTCTAATGTTTCATCATCATCTTTTATCAATCGTGCCCAATACACACGGTGCAGGTGAAGAAGAGTTCATCTGTTTCAGTGTGGTCAGCACTATACCCAGCCGCCTTTGCTTTCCCTAACGTGAGTTTAGTACCAAGCTGGGTGGGACATTCTACTGACTTGAACCCGGATCCGAACTCTAGTCTTTCGTGTTAGCAGTCTAGCTCTCTACCGCTAGGCCACGTCTTTTGTGAACTTGTAATGTTTGTACATCTGTAATGTCTGTACACCTGAATGTTTGTACACCTATAATGACTGTACATCTGCGATTTTTGTACACCTGTAATGTGTGTTTGTACACCTGTAATGTTTGTACACCTGTAATGTTTGTACACCTGTAATGTTTGTACACCTGTAATGTCTGTACACCTATGACGTTTGTATAGGTTGCACTAAGGTCATGTTTGTTCCACAATCAAGTTTGTAGACCATCCATTCTGCTGCGCTTGTGGTCTGTACTTGTTACCCCTCCCCCTCTCCCCCTACCCCCGGGTCGTTCACTGTGTGTGACAGTTTGCCTTCATCAGCTGTCTATCGCAGGAGCTTTTTTAACCGCCAGCAAAAATAAAGGTCCCCTCACCCCCCCCCCTCTAAACCCAGAGGTCACCTCAACTGACGTAACTGCTATTTGGGAAAGGTCTAATGAATGACGGTTCCCTGGGGCCCGCGGGATCTCGACTCGAGGTATTGATTGCCACTCGCTGTTGGTGTCCACCCGCTGCCCAGTGCCCGTACGGGCATTTGTCTGCTACCTCCCCCCTCCCCCCTCCCCCCGTCAGCTGGTAATCCAATTCGCCAGTATGAAGTTGAATGGTTTTTTAGTTTAATTTGTTTAACGTTCATATCAGAATCTATGTGTCTCTACCTTGTGTCTGCATTGTGTATGTCTTGTGTCTGCCTTGTGTCTGCCTTGTGTCTGTCTTGTGTCTGCCTTGTGTCTACCTTATGTCTGCCTTGTGTCTGCCTTATGTCTGCCTTGTGTCTGCCTTGTGTCTGCCTTGTGTCTGCCTTGTGTCTGCCTTGTGTCTGCCTTGTGTCTGCCTTGTGTCTGCCTTGTGTCTGCCTTGTGTCTGCCTTGTGTCTGCCTTGTGTCTGCCTTGTGTCTGCCTTGTGTCTGTCTGCCTTGTGTCTGTCTGCCTTGTGTCTGCCTGCCTTGTGTCTGTCTGCCTTGTGTCTGCCTGCCTTGTGTCTGTCTGCCTTGTGTCTGCCTGCCTTGTGTCTGTCTGCCTTGTGTCTGCCTGCCTTGTGTCTGCCTGCCTTGTGTCTGCCTTGTGTCTGCCTTGTGTCTGCCTTGTGTCTGCCTTGTGTCTGCCTTGTGTCTGCCTTGTGTCTGTCTCGTGCAAGTCTTACATGGGCCTTGTGTCTCAGGTGTCTAACTATTTACTGAAGAAATACCCCCCCCCCCCTATAAATATGAAGCATCGGTATCAACACAGCACAGTTGTAGAGATTTTACCAACCGTTTGACATGTGTGTGTGTTTGTGAGTGTGAGTGTGTTTCATGATGTACCAAACGTCAACAATCAAATCAATTGCTAGTAGTTAACCAACTTTTCAATACGTAGAACGCTCCTTAGATGTACAATCTTTAAAACTTGGAACATTTCTAAAAGTGGGACGTCTATTATCGGGTTCTCTGAGAAAATGTAATCTTCAAAATAAATGATTTTAAAAATTACATTTATTTATAGATTACCCTCCGTCAGGAGATTTTTTTACAAATTACGTAACAATTATTCAACAACCCGTCCCCTCTATAAAAGATAAAGAAAATAAAGATATTTGTTTCCATTGGTTGATTCATGTAGTGAATGAGTGAAAGGGATGAATGGGGGTGAATGTTGTTTATACTTTGTACCCTGTCCCGTTCGTCCCTGTTCAAATCTCGTGTTGTGAGTTTTGACAGTCCAGTTTGTCCCTATTTGTTTACGTGAGGTGTGTAAGAACGTGTGTGATTGCCTCAATTTAGTCCAGTTCTCTCACAAGGTAAGTGTAGGTTAGTTCTGTACTGTTAGCTAGCCAATGAATCTTAGTTTGTGTAGGTTAGTTCTGTACTGTTAGATAGCCAATGAATCTTAGTTTGTTGTATGTATTTATATTTATAATAGCCTGTGTGTTACAGTGTAACTGTGTATACAGTATTAAATTCTTTAGGTTGCAACGAGCCCTTGTTTTATTCAGTCGTTTTTTGTAACCCGTTTGTGGTTGTTTCGTCTTATATGTTGCGTGACGCACTCGATCACCCGTAAAGGTGTGTCAGTGTTCACAACAATTCATTAAACGATACCTGCGAGTTTCTAGACCCACATCCCCTCCCCTCGTAGAATGTCCTCACGCGCGTCTAAACCACCCCCCCCCCTCCCCACCCTAGGATGTGACGCATTTATAGACGACCCAATGTTTTACACTGAGCTCCTCAAACACTCAAGGCGCTAGTTCAGTCTGTCATACGCTTTGATTGTTGCCTGTCTTCCATGTTATCTTCCTGTTATTGTTAGCTGTCGTGTATTTCTTCCTGTGAGTGTTAGCTGTCCTGTATTTCTTCCTGTGAGTGTTAGCTGTCGTGTATTTCTTCCTGTGAGTGTTAGCTGTCGTGTATTTCTTCCTGTGAGTGTTAGCTGTCCTGTATTTCATCCTGTGAGTGTTAACTGTCGTGTATTTCTTCCTGTGAGTGTTAACTGTCGTGTATTTCTTCCTGTGATTGTTAGCTGTCCTGTATTTCATCCTGTTATTGTTAGCTGTCCTGTATTTCATCCTGTTATTGTTAGCTGTCGTGTATTTCTTCCTGTTATTGTTAGCTGTGTGCATTTCATCCTATAATTTTTGGCTGTCGTCCATTTGTTCTTCCTGTAAACTTTGGCTGTCGTTCATGTTTTCCACTGTCGCAATTTTCGCAACTCCTCGTTCGTTTGCGTGATAAAAGTTTTAATTTAATTTTTCCAATTTAATTTTGGGTTTTCTAAAAGCCACCTTCTCTGAGCTGCTAATGCAATATGTTTAATATATGTAAATTTGGGTTTTCTAAAACCACTGTGAGCTGATAACGTAAAATGTGTAGATTATATTACTCATCCTTCCTGCAGCCTCTAGTGGGAGCCTTGCTGCCCTACAACTGGACGCTCATTACTAGCTGTGCTCCATTTTACATGGTAAATGTTTTATTATTGGTTTTTTGTGGTCTAAATGCCCACTGCCATTTGTTATAAAGTCAAAATTGTTCTTAAACTAATAAATAAAAGTGGACGTAATTTGAATTCCTACAACTTTTAATTCATATTTCATACCTTTCTGTTCTAAAACACTACTAAAATATTTTGAGAATTCGCCCAATAGAAAAACAAAAACTCAAAGCATGAACTATAATATATTTCCCATTTAACAACAACACATTTGAGACCAAAACCGCAGTAAGCTACTGGAAGAGTTAGTTCCCTTCTGCAGCCATTTTTTTTTTCTAATTGTAAGATTATCTTCTGCTAAGCTAAGTCGAGGTTCTGGAAACTACTCTTCGCTTTCGTCATGCTCTGGGGAGTAGTGCTCGTCTTGAAACCCCAGGAAGGGATTCCTCCCTGGCAGGACTGTGGTGAACTCCGTGGGGGTCAGGTCCTTGCATTCAGTCGGGAGACCTTCAATACACAGGGTGCGCTCCCGTGCACATTCTCTTATCTTTCTTAGTGCTGAAACATTAACGGTGAGATAATTAAAGTCACATTCTCTTATCTTTCTTAGTGCTGAAACATTAACGGTGAGATAATTAAAGTCACATTCTCTTATCTTTCTTAGTGCTGAAACATTAACGGTGAGATAATTAAAGTCACATTCTCTTATCTTTCTTAGTGCTGAAACATTAACGGTGAGATAATTAAAGTCACATTCTCTTATCTTTCTTAGTGCTGAAACATTAACGGTGAGATAATTAAAGTCACATTCTCTTATCTTTCTTAGTGCTGAAACATTAACGGTGAGATAATTAGAGTCACATTCTCTTATCTTTCTTAGTGCTGAAACATTAACGGTGAGATATTTAAAGTCACATTCTCTTATCTTTCTTAGTGCTGAAACATTAACGGTGAGATAATTAAAGTCACATTCTCTTATCTTTCTTAGTGCTGAAACATTAACGGTGAGATAATTAAAGTCACATTCTCTTATCTTTCTTAGTGCTGAAACATTAACGGTGAGATAATTAAAGTCACATTCTCTTATCTTTCTTAGTGCTGAAACATTAACGGTGAGATAATTAAAGTCACATTCTCTTATCTTTCTTAGTGCTGAAACATTAACGGTGAGATAATTAAAGTCACATTCTCTTATCTTTCTTAGTGCTGAAACATTAACGGTGAGATAATTAAAGTCACATTCTCTTATCTTTCTTAGTGCTGAAACATTAACGGTGAGATAATTAAAGTCACATTCTCTTATCTTTCTTAGTGCTGAAACATTAACGGTGAGATAATTAAAGTCACATTCTCTTATCTTTCTTAGTGCTGAAACATTAACGGTGAGATAATTAAAGTCACATTCTCTTATCTTTCTTAGTGCTGAAACATTAACGGTGAGATAATTAAAGTCACATTCTCTTATCTTTCTTAGTGCTGAAACATTAACGGTGAGATAATTAAAGTCACATTCTCTTATCTTTCTTAGTGCTGAAACATTAACGGTGAGATAATTAAAGTCACACTCTCTTATCTTTCTTAGTGCTGAAACATTAACGGTGAGATAATTAAAGTCACATTCTCTTATCTTTCTTAGTGCTGAAACATTAACGGTGAGATAATTAAAGTCACATTCTCTTATCTTTCTTAGTGCTGAAACATTAACGGTGAGATAATTAAAGTCACATTCTCTTATCTTTCTTAGTGCTGAAACATAAACGGTGAGATAATTAAAGTCACATTCTCTTATCTTTCTTAGTGCTGAAACATTAACGGTGAGATAATTAAAGTCACATTCTCTTATCTTTCTTAGTGCTGAAACATTAACGGTGAGATAATTTAAGTCACATTCTCTTATCTTTCTTAGTGCTGAAACATTAACGGTGAGATAATTAAAGTCACATTCTCTTATCTTATTTAAAGTCAAGACCATTTTACACATTTAGTTATTTTTAGGGCTTTAACACGAGCCCATGAAGGACGTGATTATAGACTTTTTTCGAAATTCAACTAATTAAAGGGCTCTTTTTACAACAGCCAATGTTAAGAGCTCTTTGTTTAAACAGCCGATGTTAAGGGCTCTTTGTTTAAACAGCCGATGTTAAGGGCTCTTTGTTTAAACAGCCGATGTTAAGGGCTCTTTGTTTAAACAGCAAAGTTTAAGTAGTGCTTTCGTCAGTCAGATATTCCCTGGGTAACAACCCTGTAGGTAGTCTAGCTTGGTATCCACACACACATGATCAATGTGGCTTATCCACACAGATATAATACACTTACTCATATGTGGTTTATCCACAATGATAATCAACTTACACATATGTGGTTTATCCACACACACATAATCAACTTACTCATATGTGGCTTATCCACACAGAGGAATGAACACACACATAATCAACTTACACATATGTGGTTTATCCACACACACATAATCAACTTACTCATATGTGGTTTATCCACACACACACACATAATCAACTTACTCATATGTGGTTTATCCACACACACATAATCAACTTACTTATATGTGGTTTATCCACACACACACATATAATCAACTTACTCATATGTGGTTTATCCACACACACACACATAATCAACTTACACATATGTGGTTTATCAACAATGATAATCAACTTACTCATATGTGCTTTATCCACACACAAAATAAACTTACTCATATGTGGTTTAACCACACATAATCAACTTACACATATGTGGTTTATCAACAATGATAATCAACTTACTCATATGTGCTTTATCCACACACAAAATAAACTTACTCATATGTGGTTTAACCACACAAAAATATCTCCTTACTCATATGTGGTTTATCCACATATGCACCCACACATAATCAACTTACTCATATGTGGCTTATCCACACATAATCAACTTACTCATATGTGGTTTATCCACGCAGATGGTGTGCAGGTCCTTACACAGGTTCTCATCAAACAGACACACGCCATAGTCGTCGTAGATGTCGCAGGATACAGCACTCATTAGCACTAGCACAATCAGCACTGCTGCAGCCTGAGGGGGGTGGGGGTGGGGGATAGATGAAGTCACAGACGAACTTTGCCAATTTATATAGCTGCATTATGCCACATACGTCACTCTCTCATCAAGTCTACATCAACCCTGTCTCAACCCTCTCGACAACCCGTTCTTTACATAACACTTGCCTACTATGTCAAATAAGTTACCTTCTTTACATATAACTTACCTACTATGTCAAGTAAGTTACCTTCTTTACATATAACTTACCTACTATGTCAAATAAGTTACCTTCTTTACATAACACTTGCCTACTATGTCAAATAAGTTATCTTCTTTACATAACACTTACCTACTATGTCAAATAAGTTACCTTCTTTACATATAACTTACCTACTATGTCAAGTAAGTTACCTTCTTTACATATAACTTACCTACTATGTCAAATAAGTTACCTTCTTTACATAACACTTGCCTACTATGTCAAATAAGTTATCTTCTTTACATAACACTTACCTACTATGTCAAATAAGTTATCTTCTTTACCTAACACTTACCTACTATGTCAAGTAAGTTATATTTAGTAAGATTATTCCTAGTTATTATTTTACAATTGATTGAACATTAAAGCAGTAATTGTTGCTCGATTGTGCTTACGCTGTTCTGTGTTCGGTATTTATTTGGTTGTCCTTAAAGTTACACTATATCTATCTGTAATAATTTACACTATTTCTATCTGTAACAAGTTACACTATATCTATCTGTAATAATTTACACTATTTCTATCTGTAACAAGTTACACTATATCTATCTGTAAGAAGTTACACTATATCTATCTGTAATAAGTTACACTGTATCCATCTGTAAAAAGTTACACTATATCTATCTGTAACAATTTACTTTATATCTATCTGTAATAATTTACACTGTAACAATTTGCACTATATTTGTAAGAAGTTAAATCCTATCTATCTGTAACAAGTTACGTTAATATATATCTGTAACAAGAGATCTGAAAAGATACTGTAAATGTAGCTTTAGAATGAAGATTTATTTGTGGGGAACCTCCAAAATAAAACTGCTGCCTTGCAGATTGTTCTTGGTTAGACAATGGTTATGGAAGCAAATCAAGAAAGAAAAGCTTATTAATTCAGCGTCAACAGGCCATAAGGGGCCAAAGATGTTGACTCGTATTATTTAACAATATTACAATTAAGAACAAGGGGAAAAATGGGGAAAAAATCTATTTATTAAAGTAGTTTTAAAAATATATTTAGTTTTAAACAGGTAATAAAATTGTAAGATACATTCGAATGTAAAAAAACACATTAGAGAAATCAAAATGGAGTAGTTTCACTGAATATATGGGTCTGACAAACCTTGCCAATTATACAGTGTAATGTGAGTTAATCTTAATCAGCTTTTTCTGTCGTTATTGTATACAAACACTTCAGCAGTAATTATGTTTTAGCCACCCAAAACAAATATGTATGAAGTAAACAAAATTAAAGCAAAGACAGAATCAAATAACACAACTAAAACAGAACAAAGCGAAAACAAATAATCAAACACAATACAACTAACAAGAACCCAATGCGACTCCACGAAAACACAACACGTCAACATATTCAAAACACCACGAAAACACAACACGTCAACATATTCAAAACACCAGGAAAACAACACGGCAACATATTCAAAACACCAGGAAAACACAACACGGCAACATATTCAAAACACCAGGAAAACACAACACGGCAACATATTCAAAACACCAGGAAAACACAACACGTCAACATATTCAAAACACCAGGAAAACACAACACGGCAACATATTCAAAACACCAGGATAACACAATGTAGCAACACAAAAAACAGTTCGTGAGCTCAGCTAGTTCTGAGTACTCCAAAAGATGACAGGTATTTGAGAACAGAAAAAATTAAATATTTATACTAGAATAAACACACATTTTAAAAATAATCCTTTGAACGGATCTCATAGAGCTCTTGAAGTCAATGACTCATCCATTATAGCACTGAATAACGTCATTCACAATCCTAAAACTAAATTAAAATCATTCACAAAACTAAAACAAAACGACTGAAAAATATGTTATTTATTTTTAAAATGTGTATTTAAAGTTTAAGTTTACAAATACTCAAAAATTTTGACAAAATAATTTTTCTAAATTTGCTTCAGCTAAAAGCGACTATCATAAATCATAAATCTGTTTCAGTATTAATTCAATGTATCGTATCTAATAGCATTTTATTGTTTTAATGTTATTTTTTAATATGTCGAAAGTTTGTATGTCCACAATTAGCTGACTCGACATTTCAGCCAATCTATTTATAGTCAACCAGGTAAAAAGACACACAGTTATCAGGTGTCTCCATCTTCCATATGGCACATTGTGTCATGTGCCTGACGTCCAGATGTCACTACCTGTCATGACGTCCAGGTGTCACTACCTGTCCTGACGTCCAGGTGTCACTACCTGTCCTGACGTCCAGGTGTCACTACCTGTCATGACGTCAAGGTGTCACTACCTGTCATGACGTCCAGGTGTCACTACCTGTCATGACGTCCAGGTGTCACTACCTGTCATATGACTGACATCCAGATGTCGCCACGTGTCAGACCTGTACTCACCTTCATCGTGTACGATCTGGCCGGATGAGCAAGTGAGTCCGCACGCGCCGAAAGGACGAGGACACACTATGGAACGCTGCCGGAGGCACACACTCCAATCTTTTATATGACCTACAACTCACCGGTCACGTGACTCTGACATGAGCCAAGAGGGCACGCTCCTAGTGTGTGGTCAAGTTGGACACCCCCCCCCCCCTCCCCCCACCCCCACACCACCACATCTGATCGTAAATCTTTAAGGAAAGTTTAAGCTGACGTTCAATTACTGATGGTAATTAGGCTATCCGCGCGCTTGTGTTCAATACGTCTATAGATTCTATCGATAAGTTACAAACATTGGATTGGTTTAAAGCGTTTTGAGCTTCACAAAAAATAATCGTTATCATCTAAATTATCCAATCTCCGTCTTGTGAAGACGTTTCTGAACATTTAAAGTTTTATTTTAGTTGTTTCATTTCAGATATGGCGTCTCTAAGTCGGGTGTCGCCTGGGGCGGACGCACCCACTCCAGCTGAAAAATTCTGACTGAAAATAACTATCTTTTTCGTGATGGATCACTAAATGTGCATTGACTTTGTGGAAGTACAAGTTTTTTTTTATTAAACTTATTTTTTTCTGGAGTTTTGGTGGAAATAGTACAAAGTATCTTCTGTGGAAAACACTGTTGTTTCTGTATATGAACACATAAAAATACGTCTGTCTTTGTTAAAATTGTAAATCTGCCCTAACTAGAAAATTGTTAACTTTTAATCTGCCCTAACTAGAAAATTGTTAACTTTCAATCTGCCCTAACTAGAAAATTGTTAACTTTCAATCTGCCCTAATTAGGACCACCAACGTTTGCAGCTTAGCACATGTCACCAGCTCGTTGGCCAAAATGTGATGGTGGAGACAGCAGTTGGATCGATGCAACAATTTCAACTTTTATTTCAGCCCACTCAACAGAAATCTTCAAAAGTCGCAGAGAGGCGTACACACTAACATCATGTACACACTACCATCATGTAAACACTACCATCATGTACACACTACCAGTAACATCATGTTAAAGGACACGTCCGCACAAGTAGACGCCTTGATGATGAGGTTTGTGTACGTATAAGTTTAAGCAACTATTTTGGAGATAATAGATGGGTTATGTACAACAGACCCCATGATGTACATATATGAGTAGTGTACATGAATACACAGACCCCTGGGTTCACATTATTACTAGAATATGAGAGGGTACGCCTAACGGAAATGATCCCATACTCTGTAAACAAAACAAAAAAAAACAAATCACAATTAGTTTCGTCTTTAAACCATTACACGCGGGAGTATCTAGAGAATTTTTTACGTTAGATCTAGCTTTAAGGCTGGATTAAGTATTAGATTAGCATGTAGATTAAGATTTAGCTATGAAATAACATAGAAACTAAAAATCAGTGACGTCAAACAACCTAGCAGGTTTGCTGAAGAAGGTTGCCTATGTGCCGATACTGTCGGCTTAGGGTCAAAAATCGATCAAGTAATTAACTGCTTTGTTTACGATTTTCTTTTCTCTCCCCCAAAAGCAATTTAATTGGCTTGCCCGTGAGAGCTGAAGAAAAATGTTTGGCTTTAATTTGGGCAGGAGTGGAAGGTTTGTTGTAAGCAGGTCTCGTCTGGGACCTCGTGTGTTGGGGGGGGGGGGGGGCTATATTTTAACGGGCAAGTTGCAGGGACCAGATTTTGGGCCAGTTCAAGAAAACTGAGTGAGCATTTTACGTCGTGTTATGAATATAAACAGACCTATATTTTTTTAATAAACAAGACGACGTGACGGCGAGAGCAACGCCTTGTCGGTACCGGGAGCGTGTAGAAAAATATATCCAAGTATGGAAGGTAGGGGCAGCACTCCATATTGTATTGGATAGAGTAACTTTCCTACTCAGCGGATGAAGAACGATAACTCATGAATTAGACTTCATTTAGTTTTAACACAGTTCTCTCCCCTTATGTTTGCGTTAATTTAAAAAACTAAGTAATAAGCATTTTTTTTTATACAGAGTATCCATTATCTTTAGTTTGAATAATGTATTCCTTTAGTTTCCACATCAAGAAAAAACAATGTAAAAGAATAAATTATTTATATGTTTCCTACAGAAAATTATTCAGGACTCCAAACATGTCCTACAAACATACCTGTTTGTCCCACACACCAAACTTAAGTCCTCTATATACCTCTGCTGTTCACACTAAATTGTCTAGTACGGCTGTTTATAGGAGTGCATGAATGTCAACAAAGACTGAACTAGGCCCATCAGAGAAAACAACAAGTTTATTGCACCAACAAAAACAACAAGTGTCTCAAAGATTTGTATGAACATATTCATTGGCACAGAGTCAACCAAAGCCTACACAACATGGTTGCATAGCAACATCATACAAGCTTCCCTGTCAGTGGCATAGGCAGGAATTTGTCATGAGTGGGGGGGGGGGGGTAAATTTTATAAAGTGACACTTTTAAAATATTAAATTGTTTTTCTGACATTGACAAATTTAAAAATTGTAAACAGAACTAGAGGATCAAACTGTTGCCAGTAGCAGTAACTTAACATGTCAGACAGCATTCATTTTGGGGGACAGTGGGAAGGGTGGGGGTTTCTAGCCCCCTAACACCCCCCACACACCTACGCCACTGATGGTTGCATAGCAATGACAACAGTTTACACAATAAATAATAAATTTTAAATAATATTAAAATATTTGACATCCATAAAATATCAAGAAATGTGTATACAATAAATATATATGACACACACAGCACATTTTGTTGACATAAAGTACAACCCTGATGGATTATCACAGATTATGTGCATGACACTGAAGAAGCTACTGGGTAACTCACATAATGGTGAGGTCAAAGTTCACAACTAAGTTGTGGCCACTGGCTTTGTTTCTTTGGCAAACTATATTGCCATCATTGAAACTATTTCAAACTTGTCTAGCCATTTTATGACAGCATAAAAATTAAAAATACATTTTTTATAACAACCAAGAAATATTCAACCTGGCTAGTTAGAAAATAAAATTTCTTTCACTTTAGCCGGAGTAGATTGTTGTAGAAAATGTGGTGTAAAAATTGTGAATAGATCACTGATTAAAACCATTCTTGTACCTCATAGATAACAGCAGCTTAAAAATGTGTTGCTGCGAGCTGTGTAAAGTGGTTTGTTCAACAGTGGCAGGTTGGTGCAGCTGAACATTCTGGAAGCATCAACCTGATTTCTTCAGGCAGCAGGCGCAGGTGTCTATAAATAAACACCAGCTGACATAAAGTAACCAATCAAAACTTAGATGACCAACATGGTTTAAAATTATTTTTTTTAAAAATTGAATCAGACGTGATGCAGCAATTATCAATGACCATTGTCAACATCAACTAACATGAACTTGAACTACTTCAAGTCGAACTATGAAACTGATAACTTTCTCTCATGAATTCCTGTATAAATATCTAGTGCTTTGTTTGATTTCAATTTGTATTCAGATATCACATGATATGGTTTTAAATGCCGCTGTGATTATATTCATATGAAATGAATTAGCAGTCAAATTCTAAGGTATGTTTAAAACATGATTAAAGAAAAATATATCAGCTAATGATTTAAAGCTGTACACACAGTCAATATATGTAGTTACAGAAATAATTAAATATTTAAAGAATTAAAATCTCCCATAATTAAAATACATGACAATATAAAAATTTATGTGAGCAGTACTAAATGTGGCAGCTTATTTTGGCATCTTTTATGAGCAGGTATTTACAGTGGTTAACATATAACTTCACTGTGTGTGAACATACACTTGTGTACGTGGACGTAAAAATACATAAATGTATATAAGGAATGAGAAGATAATTAACATTATTGAAACAACAGTGGAAAGCCAAAAACTTCCATTGATGAACTGGTGTGGTACTCGTGTCAGGTAGACTTTGTACCAACACAGATAAATAAAAGAACCCAATAATGTACTGAAACTGTAAATCTCTAACTATGAACACACAACAATTTAACTTTTAACATGAGGCAGCAGCACAACTAAATAAAAGAACCCAATCATGGGCTGATCTGGTATTGGAAATGTCGAACCACAAACAAACACAGAAATTGAACATTCAACTTGAGGCAGCAAATTTAAATAAAAGAACCCAATCATGTACTACGATGACTAAATCAAAATAGAAGAAAAGTTGAACAACAAAGTAAACAAAAAATGTATAGCTTAATGCCACTACATCAACAGGGAGTTTGGCTGAGCTATAGCCCTGTCCGTGGTTCAACAGGACAGCTCTTTTGTGAAGTCAGCTGTTCAACAGGACAGCTCTAGTGCTGTCCATGGTTCAACAGGACAGCTCTAGTGCTGTCCATGGTTCAACAGGACAGCTCTAGTGCTGTCAACAGTTCAACAGGACAGCTCTAGTGCTGTCAACAGTTCAACAGGACAGATCTAGTGCTGTCAACAGTTCAACAGGACAGCTCTAGTGCTGTCAACAGTTCAACAGGACAGCTCTAGTGCTGTCAACAGTTCAACAGGACAGCTCTAGTGCAGTCCATGGTTCAACAGGACAGCTCTAGTGCTGTCAACAGTTCAACAGGACAGATCTAGTGCTGTCCATAGTTCAACAGGACAGCTATTGCGCTATTGTGCAACAGTTGTGAAAAGTTTTACTCAGATATGCAAATAACTCTTGGCTTTTTACATTTTCTGGACGGGATAAAAAAATGTGTTGTTATCTCAACAACTCTACCACTGGTATATTGTGAAGTTTATCACAAATTAAATGTTTTAAAACAGACAGGACCAATTTTGTGTAGGAGACAAAAAATGCAAAGATTGTAGTATCCAGGAGACACGGCAACACATTTTTACAAGTCTCCCGAGGTCATAGTCAGTTTTTAAATGCCCCAGCCTGGCTAGCCTTGAAAATAAAATCTTTGACGATGGCGTCGTCCAGTTTTCCGAAGGCTTCGCTTTGGGTCACCAAGGTCATGTGGTTGAGGGAAAAACGGAAACAGAAATCTTCAAGTTGCTGGAAATAAAAATATTTATAGTATTTAATTTAACAGAAATATGTAAGATACCGAAAATAGAATGATTTGCGATCTTTAACAACAAACTAAAAATAAACTTTTTTTTCCTGTATCTATGATGATAAGGTGTTATCAAAAGAACAGAGACACAAATTCAATAAATAAATTTTAACATCATGTCTCTGTTGTACTGTAAGCAAGTCCTAAAGACCAGAGCATAGGGGTGACAGTGGTTACATGGAGGGTTGAACAACTGGATGGAGTGGTAGCTAATCAGTGGGGAAATGGGATCATGAATAGAGTGGGTAATGTCCCTTTACCAAACTAAACCCAGGACCTAATGACCTATAATTGTGGGGGTCATTAAACACAGTACCTAATGACCTATATTGGTAGGGGTCATTAAACACAGTACCTAATGACCTATATTGGTAAGGGTCATTAAACAAAGTACCTAATGACCTATATTGGTAGGGTCATTAAACACAGTACCTAATGACCTATATTGGTAGGGTCATTAAACACAGTACCTAATGACCTATATTGGTAGGGTCATTAAACACAGTACCTAATGACCTACATTGGTATGGTCATTAAACACAGTACCTAATGACCTATATTGATAGGGGTCATTAAACACAGTACCTAATGACCTATATTGGTAGGGTCATTAAACACAGTACCTAATGACCTATATTGATAGGGGTCATTAAACACAGTACCTAATGACCTATATTGATAGGGGTCATTAAACACAGTACCTAATGACCTACATTGGTTAGGGTCATTAAACACAGTACCTAATGACCTATATTGGTAGGGTCATTAAACACAGTACCTAATGACCTATATTGGTAGGGTCATTAAACACAGTACCTAATGACCTATATTGATAGGGGTCATTAAACACAGTACCTAATGACCTATATTGGTAGGGTCATTAAACACAGTACCTAATGACCTATATTGATAGGGGTCATTAAACACAGTACCTAATGACCTACATTGGTTAGGGTCATTAAACACAGTACCTAATGACCTATATTGATAGGGGTCATTAAACACAGTACCTAATGACCTATATTGATAGGGGTCATTAAACACAGTACCTAATGACCTACATTGGTTAGGGTCATTAAACACAGTACCTAATGACCTATATTGGTAGGGTCATTAAACACAGTACCTAATGACCTATATTGGTAGGGTCATTAAACACAGTACCTAATGACCTATATTGATAGGGGTCATTAAACACAGTACCTAATGACCTATATTGGTAGGGTCATTAAACACAGTACCTAATGACCTATATTGATAGGGGTCATTAAACACAGTACCTAATGACCTATATTGATAGGGGTCATTAAACACAGTACCTAATGACCTACATTGGTTAGGGTCATTAAACACAGTACCTAATGACCTATAGTGCCATGGTAGCTAAACACAGGAACTAATGACCTACATTGGCATGGTACAAGACACATGACCTAATGACGTACATTAAATCTGTCATTAAACACATGACCTAATGACCTACAAGACAACCCACCTGACCAGGTACACTCACCTGAGCTCCGAACTTGATGGCGGCCGCGTACAACATTGCCACGTTGTCTACAGAGATTCCCTGGCGAATGATGGCCTCGCATTTCTTTTTCAGCAGCTCCTCACAATAGGCATTGGAGAGGTCCAGGAGACCTACAAGATACATGAGACCAGTTGATTGAAAGGTCCAGGTGACCTACAAGATACATGAGACCAATTGATTGAAAGGTCCAGGTGACCTACAAGATACATGAGACCAATTGATTGAAAGGTCCAGGTGACCTACAAGATACATGAGACCAGTTGATTGAAAGGTCCAGGTGACCTACAAGATACATGAGACCAATTGATTGAAAGGTCCAGGTGACCTACAAGATACATGAGACCAGTTGATTGAAAGGTCCAGGTGACCTACAAGATACATGAGACCAATTGATTGAAAGGTCCAGGTGACCTACAAGATACATGAGACCAATTGATTGAAAGGTCCAGGTGACCTACAAGATACATGAGACCAGGTAAAAGGTCCAGGAGACCTACAAGATACATGAGACCAGATGAAAGGTCCAGGTGACCTACAAGATACACGAGACCAGATGAAAGGTCCAGGTGACCTACGAGATACATGAGACCAGATGAAAGGTCCAGGCGACCTACAAGTTCACAGAAAGGTCCAGGTGACCTACAAGATACACGAGACCAGATGAAAGGTCCAGGTGACCTACAAGATACATGAGACCAGATGAAAGGTCCAGGTGACCTAGAGGATACGAGACCAGAAGAAAGGTCCAGGTGACCTACAGGATACATGAGACCAGATGAAAGGTCCAGGTGACCTACAAGATACATGAGACCAGATGAAAGGTCCAGGTGACCTACAAGATACATGAGACCAGTTCACAGAAAGGTCCAGGTGACCTACAAGATACATGAGACCAGATGAAAGGTCCAGGTGACCTACAAGATACATGAGACCAGATGAAAGGTCCAGGTGACCTACAAGATACATGAGACCAGATGAAAGGTCCAGGTGACCTACAAGATACATGAGACCAGTTCACAGAAAGGTCCAGGAGATCTATAAGATACAGAAGAACCATTATTGGAAAGGTCTTAGGAGACCTAAATGAACAATTAAAAGAAAGGAGACTTAGAATACATAAGAATCTAATTTTGTTTTAAAATTTACAATGTATTTTTGAATACTAAAAAAACAAGAATTTTAAAGTATGTAAAAATTGTTAATTTCTTATGTCTCTAAGGAATCTCCTTCAATCGAAATACATTATACTTAAACATAGACTTCTGTTGATTTAAAATATTTGTAACTGCCGAGGCAGGTTTTACTTACCTATAGCTTCATCAGGTGGCAAGTCTACATCATCTGTGTACAGGTACTTGAGAAATGCCTTGTACACAACATAGGGGTACTGGGTGATCTCTATGGACCTGAAACAGTTTCAAACATAACTCAGTCTAATGGTTTACACACACCAGCTGGTATTTAGGCTGACCTCAGACAACTATTGCGCTAGACCAGGGGTCTCCAAACTTTTCAGTCCGAGGGCCGCATTAACTATCAAATTTCAGTTCGGGGGCCAGTTTCTTCCAGGCATGTCTTTGATTTTTCTGGGCAAAGTTCCTCAGCCATCACCAACAAACGTTTTTTTCCGTGGACTAAAATATCTCCGCGGGCCGAATGAGAGGCATCGCGGGCCGTAGTTTGGAGACCCCTGCGCTAGACCAACACCACCTGGACTAATGGTTTACACACTAATAATTTTAACTGTTATTTTTTTTAAGTGACAATAGCAGACACAGTGGTTATTTGACCATTTAGTAACAAAAGTACTTGATAAGACATTTTAATAAAATAATATTTGAATGTAGAAGAAAGCAATCAATATTTAGATAAAATAGGCTATAGGCCTAGGTCTAAAGCAAAATATTTTTGTTTTTAGTTTTGTTTTGGAAACATTTTCTGTTAAATTTAAAAATGTTATTGCAATGTTAGGAATATCCTAATATATAATTCCCCATGTGCGCACTTCTCTCTCTCTCTCTCTCGTATTCGAATGTAGAGAAACAGTATTATTTATGCAACCGGAAAAGCATTAATAGATGTGAAAAAGAACGCATAAAACTGTGACGTCACTATTGCTTATACATTAACTAATGACGTCATCTGCCGTGTTTAGAATAAAAAGAAATGAACTATTTCATTCAAATTTGATTTAGATCTACGTACACCATGAAATGTATACAATACAAATTTTCCCGGCCTAAACTCATAAAATTTATTTTATTTATTTGGATTCTAGATCTAGATATTCTAGATTCATCTATTCAAATAATACATTTCTATACTAAAGTATTTCAGGCCTTAGTTACTTTATTGAAATCTTTGTTTATCTATGCAATTTGCTAATCTCTATAATATATAAAGCAAAGTTGTCGGGTGCCCAATAGGGCACTTCCCGGCGCCGCAGGCGCTTCAAATTTGGCAGATCTTGCCTTGGGGTGACAGAACACGGGGGCCGGTTGGCCGAAAAGTCTACGATGATAGGGTCAAAAACTGACCTCGACTGACCGGCGCCTTATATGAGCTATAAATCGAAAACAAATGTCCACGGATGAACCTCTTCATGACTCCTGAGGTCGTAGACCGACCCTCGGGCGAATTAATTAAGCATTCAAATTCTCAATGTTTTCGAAAGCCTAAGCAAAGCTGGGCAGCATGCCTAGTTATTCTATAATTGGCAACAGAGCAGTGTACATGGGATGTGTAAACTAAGAAGCCTTTTTAGTTTTGTGTTGTAAGAAAATATGTCAGGTTGTAAGGGGCTTATTGGTGAAATATTTCACACAGAAAAGTTGGTTAAGTGAATATTTGTATATGTATTGGTAGAGAATTGTTTGTTAATGAAATAATCTATCCAGTCATCAGACTTAAGGATTTTTTGTACTGTTTAGTGTGGATATTGTTATTTAGACTGACCTCAGACACCCTAACAACACCAGGCAGGAGAAAAAAATGACTCACTCTTTACTGCCTTCATCCCAGCAGGATTGGAACATGGACCTGAAGTGTTCACACCTGCGACAACATTCAAATTGTTAACACCATCTGTCAACACTGATCAAATTGTTAACACCATCTGTCAACACTGATCAAATTGTTAACACCATCAGACATCTGTCAACACTGATACTTAACTTCTGCACAAGACTTGAAAACTTAATTAGTAGGAAAGCAATAGGTAAAAGTAAAGCTTCTTTCACAGTCCATGGGTCAAGTGATGTTGAGTTCACCTGTTTTTGTGACCTTGGTATATAAAGGGATAGTGTGGTCAACACTATGCCCAGCAGCTTTATTTTCCTTAATGTCCTCAGAGCTGGGTGGACTTACGGACGTTATACTGACTTGAAACTGGATTCAGACTCAAGACTTCCATGCTCTACCACTATGCCACGCAATTGAAGTTTGGTACACAGTGATGGATGGATGGAAGATATAAACACAATCAAATAAAAACCAACCTGAGTTTGAGGATAGCTTTGTGTACGTGAATTTCTTTCCCTTCAACCACAAATTTGATGTCACTGGCTTCCTTGAGACATAGATTGCCAACATTCAACACAAGACATTAAAACCACAGGAAATTAAAACTATCACACACACACAAAATTATTATCTAGATATTAAAACTATCACACACAAAATTATTATCTAGATATTAAAACTATCACACACAAAATTATTATCTAGATATTAAAACTATCACACACAAAATTATTATCTAGATATTAAAACTATCACACACAAAATTATTATCTAGATATTAAAACTATCACACACAAAATTATTATCTAGACATTAAAACTATCACACACAAAATTATTATCTAGACATTAAAACTATCACACACAAAATTATTATCTAGACATTAAAACTATCACACACAAAATTATTATCTAGACATTAAAACTATCACACACAAAATTATTATCTAGACATTAAAACTATCACACACAAAATTATTATCTAGACATTAAAACTATCACACACAAAAGTATTATCTAGATATTAAAACTATCACACACAAAATTATTATCTAGATATTAAAACTATCGCACACAAAAATGATTATAACAACCTTGTCTTAGTTGACTCAACATGATATGTTATGCAACAATAAAAAATAAAAATGTGAGCAAATAAAATGCTCAGACTGATTAAATTACAAATAATGTTTAGATCTAACCTGGTTGTCAAAGGCATCTGCCACCGCGTCAGCTATTCGAGATCCTTTTATCAAATCTACAGGGGGAAATTTAGTTCATGGATTTATCTAATCCAAAGGTAAATTGTTAAAGACAATGTGTATCTAAGTAAGATGAGAATAGATTGTGTGTTAGAATTGTGTGAACTAGATTGTGTGTTAGAAGGGTGAGAACTAGATTGTGTGTTAGAAGGGTGAGAACTAGATTGTGTGTTAGAAGGGTGAGAACTAGATGGTGTGTTAGAAGGGTGAGAACTAGATTGTGTGTTAGAAGGGTGAGAACTAGATTGTGTGTTAGAAGGGTGAGAACTAGATGGTGTGTTAGAAGGGTGAGAACTAGATGGTGTGTTAGAAGGGTGAGAACTAGATCCTGTGTTAGAATTGTGAGAACTAGATGGTGTGTTAGAAGGGTGAGAACTAGATGGTGTGTTAGAATGGTGAGAACTAGATCCTGTGTTAGAATTGTGAGAACTAGATCCTGTGTTAGAATTGTGTGAACTAGATCCTGTGTTAGAATTGTGTGAACTAGATCCTGTGTTAGAATTGTGTGAACTAGATCCTGTGTTAGAATTGTGTGAACTAGATCCTGTGTTAGAATTGTGTGAACTAGATCCTGTGTTAGAATTGTGTGAACTAGATCCTGTGTTAGAATTGTGTGAACTAGATCCTGTGTTAGAATTGTGTGAACTAGATCCTGTGTTAGAATTGTGTGAACTAGATCCTGTGTTAGAATTGTGTGAACTAGATCCTGTGTTAGAATTGTGTGAACTAGATCCTGTGTTAGAATGGTGAGAACTAGATCCTGTGTTAGAATTGTGTGAACTAGATCCTGTGTTAAAATTGTGTGAACTAGATCCTGTGTTAGAATGGTGAGAACTAGATCTAAATTGTGATAGATGTTGGTAAACAGGAACACCCAGTGTTGAGAGCAGCTAGTGTTAACCTAGAATGTAAAATCAATATATTGATAAGCTAACAAAATGGATGAAAAGTTTGAAGCCAGCCCACCAACAGAGTAGATCCTCCAGGACACAGCGGGTGCGGAGAACGCAGCAAAGACATCATCAGTGGAGGAGAATCTTGTAATCCTGGGGGCGATCAGAGACTGACCCCGACACTGACCCCACATGCACACCTTGCCAGTCTGCGACATGGCTGCAGAAATATGGCTGTAGTGGCTGGCTGCTATCTCCACAAACCTGCGACAAGATATCAGATAGTCTGAGCACAAGAATCAAACATTCAGTCAAAATTTTAACAGGTAAAAAGAAATTTTTTCTATAAATTATCTATAGTTAGTTTAACCACCCCTACAGGGTTTGACCAGTGACCACCACTAAAGGGTTTGACCAGTAACCACCCATACAGAGTTTGACCAGTGACCCCCCTACTTACATCTCCCCCTGAGACATGACTTTAGCAGGCGCCACCATATTGGCCTTGTTGCCTGTCCCAAGCTGACCATAAGAGTTGGCACCCCAGGAGTAGATGATGCCCTCGTCTGTTAAGGCAAGGGTGTGAGCATAGCCACAGACAATCTGAAGACAGGAACACAAGAGTGTGAGCATAGCCACAGACAATCTGAAGACAGGAACACAAGAGTGTGAGCATAGCCACAGACAATCTGAAGACAGGAACACAAGAGTGTGAGCATAGCCACAGACAATCTGAAGACAGGAACACAGGTAACTATCTGAAGATAGGAACACAGTTAACTATCTGAAGATAGGAACACAGTTAACTATCTGAAGATAGGAACACAGTTAACTATCTGAAGATAGGAACACAGTTAACTATCTGAAGATTGGGACACAGTTAACTATCTGAAGATAGGAACACAGTTAACTATCTGAAGATAGGAACACAGTTAACTATCTGAAGATAGGAACACAGTTAACTATCTGAAGATAGGAACACAGTTAACTATCTGAAGATAGGAACACAGTTAACTATCTGAAGATAGGAACACAGTTAACTATCTGAAGATAGGAACACAGTTAACTATCTGAAGACAGGAACACAGTTAACTATCTGAAGATAGGAACACAGTTAACTATCTGAAGATAGGAACACAGTTAACTATCTGAAGATAGGAACACAGTTAACTATCTGAAGATAGGAACACAGTTAACTATCTGAAGATTGGGACACAGTTAACTATCTGAAGATAGGAACACAGTTAACTATCTGGAGATAGGAACACAGTTAACTATCTGAAGATAGGAACACAGTTAACTATCTGAAGATAGGAACACAGTTAACTATCTGAAGATAGGAACACAGTTAACTATCTGAAGATAGGAACACAGTTAACTATCTGAAGATAGGAACACAGTTAACTATCTGAAGATAGGAACACAGTTAACTATCTGAAGACAGGAACACAGTTAACTATCTGAAGATAGGAACACAGTTAACTATCTGAAGATAGGAACACAGTTAACTATCTGAAGATAGGAACACAGTTAACTATCTGAAGATAGGAACACAGTTAACTATCTGAAGACAGGAACACAGTTAACTATCTGAAGATAGGAACACAGTTAACTATCTGAAGACAGGAACACAGTTAACTATCTGAAGATAGGAACACAGTTAACTATTGAAGACAGGAACACAGTTAACTATCTGAAGACAGGAACACAGGTAACTATCTGAAGATAGGAACACAGTTAACTATCTGAAGATAGGAACACAGTTAACTATCTGAAGATAGGAACACAGTTAACTATCTGAAGATAGGAACACAGTTAACTATCTGAAGATTGGAACACAGTTAACTATCTGAAGATAGGAACACAGTTAACTATCTGAAGATAGGAACACAGTTAACTATCTGAAGATAGGAACACAGTTAACTATCTGAAGATAGGAACACAGTTAACTATCTGAAGATTGGAACACAGTTAACTATCTGAAGATAGGAACACTGTTAACTATCTGAAGATAGGAACACAGTTAACTATCTGAAGATAGGAACACAGTTAACTATCTGAAGAGAGGAACACAGTTAACTATCTGAAGACAGGAACACATTTGAAGATTGGAACACATCTTCATAACAAAGATTTTATCCTCAAATTTTCTCTACTTTGAGTAACAGTGATTGTCAAATCTTACAAAGATTTATGTAAAATTTATATACAATATAAAAATATTGTGGTATTATCACATTTTTCTATATGATGTTAAATAGTTGGCTAATCTGAAATCTTCGTTACCTGATTGACGATGATTGACTGCAAGGCATGGACACGGCAGGGGTTGGGCTGATTCACGTTGTTGCCAATACCTAACTGACCATTGCCATTATAGCCCCAGCCATACACCTTCAAAATGGGAAAAATTTCTTTATGAAACATTCTGCAATAGTTATATCATTCCAATGACAACATTAGAGAGTAATAAACAATGTATAACTAACTAGGTAACCAAACTTAATGAAGGAATCAATCAAACAACTGACCTCTCCGTTGTCCAGGAGAGCCACAGAAGATGTTTGACCACAGGCTATAGCCACGGCTAGCCTAGAACCTGGTGCAACAAAAGTTTGTAATGAAACTTAAGATATCTGGTATCTTGGTTGAGTAGTTAAGTGTGTATAAAAAGTAAAGTTTCTAATGTAGAAAATTTCTACCAAAAATATTGTTGTTGGGGGAGTTTTAAAAAACTGATGCTATAAATATCTGACCAATGACAGCAGTTATTTTTCTGGGCGCGGGCTGATTGGCTGTTGATCCTGTCCCAACCTGGCCACAGTTGTTCTGTCCCCAGGCATAAATCTGAATGGTACACAGGGTCAAGGTCATGACACAATTCTTATTTCAGATACATTAAGATAATATCTGCAAGTATAATTGTTATATACCCTAATTAATTATAAGGATTATTATTTGCTTGCCTAAATTACCAGAAAAATCTGGAATGGGTAAATTTACATTATTATGAACACTTTATTATTTCTATAACACAAACAGGAATCCAAGTTGAACAAGATAAAACATTCCTGTTGTAGCCAGATTTGTATGTACTACAAGCTCAGTGATCACCTTAAAGAAAACTAACACTCAGCCCAGTCTGGGCTACTCATGGAACTACTAGCTCAGTGATCACCTTAAAGAAAACTAACACTCTGCCCAGTCTGGGCTACTCATGGAAATCTAATCAGCCCTTATCAGGCTAATGACATTTACTCACCTCCCCGTCTGAGGTCAAGGCCATTGTGTGGTGACTCCCACAGGCAATTTTGATCACCATTCTGTTAGACAAATTAGTTGAGACAAGGAAGGGAGAGAAGCCAGGACTTGAGCCTCCATTGCCCAGTTGGCAGTAGCCGTTATGTCCCCATGTGTAAACCTCTCCAGCTGGAAGAGTTTAAAAGTAAAAGTACTCAACTTGTTATTGAATCCATCCCTAGCGACCCAACACAAGCTTTACATTTGGTTAGAATAAATACATATATGTAGAAATATTTTTTTTTCTTTAGACAGACTTTTTTATTTTATTAGACCATCTCTAGTATGTTTTTAAAAATCTTACATTTTATTACCTACAAACAAAAAGCAAAAATGAATCAATTGAGAGATAAAATATTTTGTAAGCATTTCAGTGTAATGCCAGGAAAATGTCAAACCTTGAGTGAGAGCCACAACATGGGGTCCACTACCAAAAGCAATATCAATGACATTCTTCTGACACAAGTTCTCAATCTTGCGGGGCTCAAAGCTGCTGTGTGAGTCTCCTGAAAGATTTTCATCAAATAAACTTCTCAGCTGTATAAGATAAAAAAACTGAGAGCAAAATCTTGAAATATTGTTTATAAGCTTTTCCTGCAGAAGAAATTTTTCTTATTTCACATGCTCCTAAATATGACAGCTAACAAATTAAGGGGGGGGGGGATGATTTTAAAAAATAAACTAAATCACAGATATACATTAAGAGGAGTATACTGTAGTGTAGGGAAACTGGATTTTTTTAGTCTTTGCCACAAAACTTTCCTGTTTTGAAATCTATGCACTTCAATCAGTTTACAGTATTGTTTAAAACAAAATTTTAAAAAGTATTCATATTTTTAAGTCAATTGGAAATAATTACAGCTACTTTATCATACAAGGAATAAGAAAGATTGTGTACCACAGGGAAAGAGAGAGATTTGTTTACCTATCCCTAGACAGTTGCTGCAGTTGGAGCCAAAAGCGTAAACATCATCTGAGGCTGTGATGTAAATAGCTTCATTTCCCGAGTTCCCAAACACAAATATTTTCCTGACAGAAGCGAGCATGTCCACATCTAAAATTGAGAAGATCGGCCAGCGACTCAGGTCCATCAGATGGCGAGATGGCTGGAGCTCTGGGAACCTGATGGCCAGATTCTGTAACGACCTCTGGGGTAGTGGCGACTCTACTGGGCATGTTGTACTACAGGATTCAGTGTCTGACATGGTCTGACAACAATTTCTTCATTCATTAAAAATGTTTTTCTAGAACACAAAACTGATGAAAATTAGTAACTACTCCCACTTAATTAATTAGTTATTTAATCAATATAATAATTTATCAATAAGCGAGCAAGAGTTTATATCAAGTTAATATTTTGTCTCTTAACTGATGCACTTACTATTTTGGTGTACTCTAAGACTTCAGCAAGTCAGCACTTTGGTCAGGTTTGCATTGAAGTTTTATCTGTGATGGTATTTTCTCAGTCCAACATAAAAGTTGGCTTTAAATTTAGCCTGCTTTGATTAAATATCATAATAATGATCTTAATGTAATTATTGATAATAATGAACAAACAGGAATAAGGTAAAAACAATAATGTATTATTGAAGATTCTTGGTCCTGGTAAATAGACCTTACACTGCAAGGGAAAGGAGTATTACAGATTATACTGTTACACACACTTCAAAAATGAGTCAATAATAAATAGCCCTATATCAGGTCATCTACTGCTTAAATAGGCCTACTTGATGCAGTTGAAAAAAATACAAAATACCAGTCGCTTAGCTGTTAGGTGGTAAAACAAACAGACAAATAAATCTGTTTTACAGTTTTATCCTTTTTTTTTAGCTTGAGAGGACAACAAACAAATTAATTATGATTAATATAATTATAATAACATGGTGTCAAATCCTAACCATTTTGATCTGATTTGTAGTTTTAAAAGTACGAATAATGGCATTACTTTTTAAATAAATTTCTACAGACAATGTACTCAACAGTATTCATACTGTATCTAGTTAGTTAGTAGTTAGACTACTCAATAGTAGTTAGTATCTTGATTTTGACAGGAACATGGCAATTTAATAGGCCTACCTCTCTGGAACTAGAATAGATCTACTACCTAGTACTAGTACTAGATGTAGTTAGTTTATAGTTTAATGTTAAAGAAAACAGGTTTCTTTTTTTTTTTTTAAACTTAAACTAGATCTAACTCTAGATCTTATTATCATACTTATGATTTTTGTTGTGAGGTGACATTTTGTGAAAATAACATTTCGAAGTGTCTATTCCCAGTCAACTGGGAATAGCCGTATTTAAGCTATTCACAGTCATGGCTGTTTTTCATAGATTAAATGTTAAAAACACTTTCTCATAAATGAGTAGTGTGGTTGGGTGGAAATGTGGGTGGCTGCTGTTCCGGAAGGTGTGGGTACAAACCCATCAAAAGCCTAAGTTTGTTAATTTTTTAATCATTTGTGACGTGATTAATGGCATATATCTGGATAAAAAAAATGACCTGTCCCTTAGATTTTTGGTAAGAGAAAAAACAACTTGGGAAAAGTGTAATGGAAACTGTGAATTTAGTTGATTAAAAAGGACATCCTATTTCACCTGCCTGATTTGTTCTATGCGAATTTTAAATTGTCATTGATAGTTGAATAGCAATGTGGACTGCTAAATTAGTAACTAAACTGATGCCTAATTAATATTCTTTCTACTAGATCTATTAATTAGATTAGTATAGATTTAATTAGAGCGAATAATGAATGGTAATTACTAAAAATTAGTAATTGATCAGTTCATCATTCATTATTCTGATATTCATTAGCCATTAGCTAAGTAATAGTATACTTAGTATAGGCTACACACTATGATTATACTACACTTGACTACACACACACACTACAGACTAGTGATTATTTGATAATCTAAATCTATAGGGCCTAGATCTATATTTAAGATCTTAAATCTAGATCTATATTCTATAGTCTATAGGCTATCTATATTATTATTATTTTACTTTTTTTACTTGGCCTAAGTTATTTATGTATTGTTTGTAATCTCTTCAAATGAAGTTTAAGAAAAACAATAATAAATATTTTACTAAATAGCGGAATGCACAATAATTGTAAAGAACACTTGCGGTTAAACTAAAACCATATAAAGAACGAAATTAAAAAAAAAAGATTTTGTAGGCCTAATTTTCTCAATTTATTTTTAATATAGATCTAGTATGTAATTTATCGCCAAATAGTAATAATTTTTAAAGAAACCAATACCTAAATATATATATTATTAACTAAACGATATTTACACTTGACCTGCCCCATGGAGTGACAAGTTCGAAAGTGAACTTAATATTTTCATATTGTATTTTAAACTTGTTAAACTTGGTAGTTTATACAAGAACTTACAAGCTTTGTTATTTAATGAAGTGGATTGTAATGACTGACGAGAAGCCGCGTTGGTTGTTAACAGTCTTTATTATGTACAGACGCCATGTTGCAAAGAGAGAGAGAGAAATGGCGAGAGAGAACTATATATAGATAACAACATGTAAGGGACATCACTCAAGATAACAATATAAATATAATACTAATACAGAGAGTGAGTTCCCTTGACCTCACAATTAACTCAATCTATTACATCCCTTTACCCTTAGAACACAATAACACATCTCTCAATAGAACAATTGATAGTATCCTAAAATCACCAATTATATTGTAACATGAACACTATGGTAGATTACATACTTACAAACAATGCACAATATGCTACAACATAATCAAGACACAAAACAATAATGTCAAAGTCCTTTTGACCTTTAGAATCATAGGTCTAACTTATTTGGGACCTTGATTGTCCTGCTTGACCTTCTCAGTGGCTTTTGATTTGGTGACTCAATATTCTGACCATCTGGATTCTCTATCTCAGGAGGTCTAGGATTTAAATCATTAACTCCAGAATTTACATTTTCTGACTCTAGACAACTTGGTTCACTCATATCAACAGAACTTGGTTGTGGAACAACTGAGTTGGTGTGAACTGTTCAGATTTGGTGGGATTGATAGATTCACACTTATTATCTGCACAAGTTATTTTTAACTTTATAAGACACAGGTCCTGTACATTGAACAATTTGACCTGGTATCCATTTTTCCTTTCTCCCATAATTTCTTAGATACACATTCTTATTAACACCAAATTCTCTTTCAATGCATGAGTTGTCATGATTTAATGGAACTATTTTTGAATTGGCATCTGAAAGTATTATGCTATTATTCAGATTCTTAATTGACATAGATTTCTTTGATTGATCAATTTTCTCAGGTAATCTGATAGTGCTTTCCTGGTAACCAAAAATACTGTTTAAAGTAATATTCTGGACAATATCACTTTGCAACTGTGATATTGTATTTGAAATGGGTGTATTAAATGGCAAAAATCTTTGCTCTTTTCTTTTGATGTTACCCCTTTTAGTTTCTGTAAGTGCTAATGATGTTAGCAAAGTTGTTTGATGATCACATTCCTTCTTACTAATGTATTTTCTTTAAAACATTTGAAATTGCCATATCACCATAATCATTTATTAAGTTACAAGTACTTTGTTTAGGCAACTCTGACTGATAATGGACTGCATCTTCTCCATCTTTTATATTATCTTCACAAAGGGTTTTTATTTCTTATTTAATATGGCTTTAAGTCATCATTCACTGACTCTTTAGGCCAACCATTCTTACAGTACTCATATACTTTTATTAAGCACTCATCTTTTTGTGTTTCTCTTTTAATATCATTCACATTTATATTGGAGTTATCCATGATAGTGAAGAGAACAAATACATCTTCTGGTACATAGCTCAGGCTTTGGTTTTTTAAAGGTAATCTACTCAGACTATCTGCACTATTCTCAGATCCAGGTTTGTATTTCAATTCATAATTGTATGCAGTTAGTGTGATAGCCCATCTTTGAATTCTTGGTGAGGCATGCTCAGGTAGGGTTTTGTTTTCTCCAAATAAACCTAGCAATGGTTTATGATCTGTAAAGATGGTGAACTTCCTACCAAACAGAAACTTATGAAATTTCTTAACACCAAAAATGATGCCTAAGCCTTCCCTATCTAACTGAGAATAATTTTTCTCAGCCTGGTTCAAAGATCTACTGGCAAAAGCAATGGGTCTGTCACCCTTCTCATCCATGTGGGACAAGACTGCTCCTACACCATCTGGTGAAGCATCACATGTTAATATAAGTCTTTTCCCTGGGTCATAGTGAGTTAGTAAGGTGTCAGCAGACAAAGCCTCTTTTGCTGTGTTAAAAGCAGCTTCTTGTTGTTTACCCCAGTGCCAAGTTGCATTTTTCTGTAGCAGCTTGTACAGTGGTGATAGTCTACCAGACAGATTCCCTATGAACTTTGCATAGTAATTTATCAAGCCCAAAAAAGCTCTTAGTTGTTGGGTATTTTCAGGTTTGGGTGCTTCTTTAATGGCTTTTGTTTTCTCAGGTTGAGGCCTGATGCCTTGTTTGCTCAATATATAACCAAGAAAACTAATTTCTGTCAGCATGAATTGACATTTATCTTTGTTTATCTTTAAACCTTTTTCACCAACAATTTTCAAGACTTTATCTAGTGTTTTAAGATGTTCAGTGTCATTCTTACCAGTTATGTACACATTGTCAAAGTACACACAAACATTTGGAATGTCCTTAAAAATACTGTCCATGACAGCTTGGAAAATTCCAGGGCTGGATGATATGCCAAAACATAGTCTTTCATATTGGTAGAGTCCTTTATGTGTGTTTATTGTCGTATAGACTTTTGAATCTGGATGCAGTTCTAGTTGAGTGTAAGCATGACTAAAGTCTAATTCAGTGAATTTGTCTCCTCCTGCCAAATTCAAAGAAATTTCCTCAATGTTAGGTATAGGGTACCTATTTAGCTCTATTTGCTTATTCAGTGTAGTTTTATAATCTCCACAAATTCTTATAGAACCATCCTTCTTTAACACTGGCACAATGGGTGTCGCCCAATCGGAATAGTCTATCTTCTTTATAATGCCATTAGATTCCAATCTACTTAGCTCATTTTCAATTTTATTCCTCATTGCATAAGGTGGAACTCTAGCTTTGCAGTATCTTGGATTTGTGTCTTTAATGCTTAACTTCACTGTTCTATCATTTAGTAAACCTGAATTACCAAAAACACATTTATTTTCAGATATAACTTTATCTAGTGAAGTAAGACTAGATTCTTTTACATTCTTCAATGAACAAATACTCTCCCAATTTAACTTAAGATCGCTTAACCAGTTCCTACCTAGTAATGGCGGTCCATTTCCTTCAACCACAAGAAGAGGAAGTTTAACACTTTGACCATTATAACTTACATGAACCATACACTCTCCTATTACCGGAACATTGTCACCAGTGTATGTTGTTAGACACTTGTGACATGGCTGTAGAGGCACTGATCCTCCTGTGACTGCGTCAAAATCTTTCTTTGTTATGACTGTTAGAGAT